CACACACACACACACACACACACACACACACACACACACACACACACACACACACACGCGTCCGAGTCCAGCAAAGGGTAGACGGTATGAGTCGCCAGTCGACACTCGAGCGTAGCATAGACCGCAGAGCAGCGAGACGAGAGTGAAGTGTCCCTCTAACACACGCACACACACCTCTGAGTCGTGCAAAGTGTAGTCTACAGCCAGAGAGCCGAGAGTCCACAGTAGCATCCAGTGCAAATTAGCGAGCTGAGAGTGAAATGTAGCATGGCAACCAGTCCAGAGTCGAACGTCATTTAGAGCATGAGAGAGACGATTCCTACCGTAGACTTAGTGGTAAGCCCAGACTCCAATCCAGCATCGGTCTGATGGGGGCGGCCCGACCCAGCGTCGGCCAGCTGGGGGCGGCCCGACCCAGGGGCTAGGTCCCACTTACACGAATTAAGCGATATTGACCGTAGATAGCAAAGATCAACGCCCAGAATCTCTTAATCCGTGCAAGTGGGACCTTGCCCCGACGTCGCCCAAATGGGGCCGGTTTTTGCCCGCGAATTGGAACGACAGAGAGAGACAACAGGCATAAAAATTGAGAGAGAAATTTGAAAGTTGTTACGCGGGAGCGCGGGCGGTTGCCCTATATTGGCAAAGCGCGGTACAACCAAAAATTGATCGCGGGGGGTTTACCTTCCCTATTCACCATCGCCGAGCAAGTAGGGACGTAGGCTCATGGGCGCGGGAGGCGGCCGACTTCCATAGCCACTAGCCCCCAGCCTCAGCTCGAACGTTCGGGAAGGGGCATGAACAGAGAGGAGAGTAGCACCTGTTACCCAATTTTTGGACTACTGGAATTACCGAGGAGAGGAGATTTACGAGAGCATTGACCAGAAGGAATCTTCCCAAGACTTTACGGAGGTAATTGTATCATATCGTTCACCTTGTTTTCTGTTTAACTGCAGGTAGGAATAGGACATTACCAAGGGTAAGGGGGAAGTAGAACAGAGGCAAACCTGCCCTCAATGAAATTTAGTACACGGTGAATACATTGTGGCTTGAGCCGAAAATTGGATCACAGGGTACTCTCCCCGCTTCCTACTCACCCCCTACCCCTGGCATTGTCTCATTTGAGAGATGGTTAACGGGGCCCCAAATATTCGCCGTTTTCGTTGGCAACAAGTTCGAGCAGTGTTGCCAGACCCTATTTCGTCAGAGGCAGAGATCATTTGAAACGTAGGTTCAGAAACGTACTCACGATTGTCCCTTCGGATGAAAAGTATATCACGTTGTATTTAGACGTAAAGGTGGCCTGGTACATGAGCCGGAGGTGAGGAATATACAGTTTCCCCTGGGAAGTCTCGATCCCCACGTAGGCTCAATAGCCAGAATATATAGTGACACGTGAGGAAGCAGATTGAAACCTCGGGAGAAATTGGTTGTCCTCACCTCAGCTAGTATAATTTTCAGAGGCACGAAGTGTTTGTAATTATAATTTGCCTTGGAACCCTGCCCGTGAAGAATGAGACTGTAAGAATACTTGCACACAACGCAATCGGGAAGGAATCATCACACATGCTCATATACTCGAGACAGGTGTGCCAAAATGGTTGATCCCCTCCCTCGAATGTCGAACCCATGTCGGAAGCTGAAAAAAAAAGAGTTAGGGGAGTGATTGAGGATTGCTACGCAAAATGTATTCTACCGGACGAATTTGCACCAAGCCTAGCTCACACTGGCCAGGACTATGTAAGAGTCATAGTCGATAGCCGATTCTACGGAGTCCAAGCAGATTGGCTATCGGAACATGTGGTTTCTGTTCAGTTTGAAAGTGACGCCGCAACCTTACCACCCTTGGTTAAAAATCGGTTGGTTCGCATCTATAAAGAGGGATGGGCAAATTCACAGGAATTTGAATGCGTTCCTAAAAGAGGAGTGTTTCGATGGGATGGCAAAAATTTGGTAACTTACGTTGCAAGTGCCAAAGCCATAGCCACATGGATGATCCGCAAGGGATCAAACCTCATTGAGCTAAATGGAAAGAAATACACAGATCACTTCAGAAATTGGATGAATGAGAACGAGCTCTATGAGTGGAACGAAGCACAGAAGCAAAGATACTTCTGGGTTAAAGCTCTGCAAGTGCCAATCTCCATTCTGCCCCACATCAAAGGGGCGATTCATAAGGCATTTGGGAGAATTATAAAATCACATGATGTTTTCGCGGATCCGATATCACCCGATCTTTCAAGTTGGAACATAAGGTTCGATATGGAACCGCCCGCCAAAGTTTGGTATAAGCAACATCTGATAGTGGATCTAAAGGAAGACGGATGGGTGGATTTGAACATAGCATGTGTCGATTCCCCCTGGTGCAAAAAGTGTCGAAAGTATTTCCACACAGAGAACGATCCGGACTGCCCTCTCAATCTGAGATCGGCGGCCCGGAAAAAATCCTACAAGGAAACAGTCGTAAATGGCAGAACATAGGGAAACATAACTGTCCAGAAAGAAGGAGGAAGGAATTCGATCCCCAAAGAAACAAGGAATATGAAGGCTAAGGGAAAACAGGATGCTCAGCTTGTCACAAAACAAATTGAAGGCAGCAGAGAGAAATCCATAAAGGAGGTATCCTCCGATGAGGACGAATCCATCTCAGAGCATAAACTCACAGCCAACAAAAGGAGGAAACAGAAGATCCCCGCAGCCTCAGCAAAGGCAGATAAGGCGGATACAGTTAAGAAAGTCCGAATTAAAAAAACGTTCATAAAAAAAAGAAAAAAGAAATTCCTTTTATGGAAGGAGAAAGAGGCAGCGGGTCCAAACTCGATGCCCCCCACATCCTCGAATGACTCATCCAAGAGGAAGGAATGGGATGGACAGAAGGGAAAGGAAGAGGGGACGGGATCAGGAAAGGAGGGAGGAAGGCTCAATGGAGAGAACCCCTTGGACAACCAGCCATCTGAGAGTCAGGGATCTATGGAAATGGACATTTCCTCTTCACAGGATCCTCCCCCCCCCACGCAAGAACCATTACACCCTTCCCCAAGGTCCATCACCCTCCCCCTAGTCAACCTGGATCAACTGGAAGTGGGATTGAAGGAAGCCAGAATGAGATTCCCAATTCCCGAGAAGGAGGTGAGTCCCAACACGGAGGGACAATCTTCGTCACTGGCCCGAAAGGAAGGATACACGGAAGGAAAGGACAAGTCCCCCAAGAAGGGACAGGTGCTGGATGGTAAAGACTCACCCCCCCCTCCTACAACTCTTCTCTTCAATGCAAAATCAGATACGAAAAGGTCGCAGGGCATAAGGAAGAAAAAAGGGTTGGCTACAAACAAACCCCTAAAGCCTTACATCCCTCCCCCTGAGCAATCGGCAAAAGTAGTACCAACGAAGCGCCAGAAAGCAAATGATGAGTCAACAATCCCACGTGCCAGCCTCAGCCAGGATGAGGCCTCAGAACGGGAAACATTCCCAAGCCAAATGAAAAGACCTTTGATGCAGGAACAGGGAAGAAAAGCTATGAGTTTAACACTGCCAATGAAAACTCTGTCATGCAAAGATAGAC